CATGTGATTTCCCTGACCGAGTTTACCTCAAACACAAATCCAAAACGACCGCTGATTGTTGCGTTTTTAAATTCCACTGGCGTTGAGTTTATGGGGCCTTGAACTGAACTATTGGTTCTAACACTATCAAAAGTGAAAATCTTCATTTGAATTAATTAATTACTAGTAGTAATCAGAGATTATGAGAGTGCGTTCGACGCCCTCACTTTTTATATACCTTATATATGACTTAAATAAATACACCTTAAATATACCTTATATATATCTTAAATATATCTTAAATATATATACCTTAAATAAATGATGTCACTAGCTGACTTTCAACCTTTGTCTATTGCTAAAATCAACATTTTTCAGCAGCAACCGAGGTTTTACAGTCAGATATGCATAGTGCCAAAGTCCAAAGAGGTCACGATTTGTTGATACGTTGCATGACGCCGCCAGTTTCTGTAGACTCACAAGTTTCATAGAATTTTTAAATTACGTAAATTATCCTAAGCTAGCATTTTCAATTGCGCACTCGTTTTGCGTGCTCGTTTGTCGTAAACAAACTCCATGCCAGTAATTCGAGTATTTCCCCTGATGAATAAAGTAGTCTTATGGATCTTGCCCGCAGAGTACTTTTCCACCGATTCCAAACAATAAAATTTCGGCTGGGTAAAGACTGAGCTATCAGTCGCGACTGGAACTAATCAACAAATGCAATCAAAATGTAGCTGTCCCCTCGGTTAACATCCCAAAGCCAAGCCGTGTTAATAACCAAGGACAATTCCCTCAAATTTCGATAAATGCTACTGTCAAAGCGTTTAAATTCGCATTTTCCTAAGGTTATGTAATTATCATTGTTGAAATATTGGTAATCTTGTATAGGGATGGTTTGTGGCTTGAAGTCTTATTACCAAGGACCATTACTTTGGAGTAAAAGTACAAGATTGAGTACTAAGTACAACTTTTAATCCTAGTGCTTATACTTTCAATCATCACACTTTATGTGTACTGCCCTTTTATTAGTAGTCTTCCGATTCAGCTAATCAGCAACAGGGTGGGGTGAGCGCTCTGAGAAGTCAGTATATTTAGTTAGTCCTTTCCGTGCCATGAGGTGCATAAAGCTGCAACTCTTGCTCTCTATCCAGCCCTGTCTTGTACCATGCCCGTGGCTTTGGCCCAGCTGGCCCACCCCTCCTGTTTGCACTTCTTTTCAACTGTCCATATGGTAGAAGTCAACATACATGTATAAATTAACTATCAGTTTTAGTTTCAAATTACCGCTCCAGTTTGCTTCCAAATTCCATCTACATTGAAATTTGAAAGTAGAGCTCAATCTTGTACTCAATACTGCTGTGTAAAGGCTCCAATTTGCAAGTCATTGTGTAACTTGGGGTTTATTGAATGATCGCTAATAGAGATTTCCCCTATTTCTGACCAATGCTCTGCTTGATGTTGTAGATTGTTTGTGGCTATGCCCACTCGCTAGCCTTATCAGATGCTGGATGTCTATATGCCTGGGGAGCAAACTCTTATGGACAGCTAGGAACAGGAAACAAAGCACATTTAGTGACACCGACCAAGATTGGCCTGGATAAAGGAAGGTAACTAGAGAATGCTGGTCATTTATCTTTTTTAAACACGATCTGCAATGTATCATTCTTTGCTAATCTGACACAATTTTCAAACGCTTCAATAGATGTGTCTTTCACATTCTTTAATTTCAGATTTGTAGAAGTTGCTGCCTGTCATTACAGTCATTTATCAGCCGCTATGACAGCCACTGGAAAGGTTTGCATCATCTGGTCACTCCTCATTTTACATGTATAATTTTCTTTTGCTTCATCTCAAAGGCATAACAGGCCTGCCTTAAACAGTAACTGCACTGCTATTATAAAAATCAGAAGCTGTATTTTCGTATAAATTGTGTGTTTGATCTGGTTTTAAAATTATCAAGCCTTATCTATAATGTTTTGAGAAACTCTTTTTATTGCATTATGCAATATAGGTTTACATGTGGGGCCAGTGTCGAGGACAAGCTGTAACAAGTCCTATGGAAACAAAGTTCACAAAGGTTGATAGCACCTTTGCTTGTTTTGCATCACCTCCATCTATGTTTAGACCTCTTGTTGTGGGTAAGTAAAGAGTCAACTGCACATGCTGCTTCAGCTAATGTAATTCTAAGTTACTTAAAGCTCTTCCTCTACCACACCCCACTCTCACTCTCTCCTCCTACTAAACTCATGACATCCCCACCCTTTCCTTGTAATACAACTCAAACTGTTCCTCTACCACACCCCACTCTCACTCTCTCCTCCCATCAAACCCTTCTGTGATGACATCTCCACCCTTTCCTTCTAATATACCTCAACCTGTTTTTCTACCTCAGTCCCACCCTCTTCTTCTACCAAACACCATGCCATTCTTCTATGACACCCAACATCTTTGTCTTACCACACCTCATGTCCTTCTCCTGTCTGTCAGGCTACCCCAACCTTACCCCTTACAGCATCCTCACCTCCTCTGTCTAACATATCCTCAGCTATCCACCCCCTACCCTGTTCAGACACACTGTCAGTAAAAACATGAAACACTGAAGTGTTGGTACCCTGAAAGAAGTCAAAACCAGTCAACAAAATTCCTTTTTTTCTTGTGTTCATGGCTGAGTTTAAGATAAAATTGTGTATTCTTCCCTTTACCTTATATTTAGATGACACCACAGGTTTCAGTATGCAGGTCCTATGTTGTGATGTTATGTCATTTAAATCATTTTTGACCTACTTTAAAAATGTCTTACAGCAGGTGATTTAATTACTTTTATGGTTTCAGATCAAATACAAGAAAAGAGAGTTGAACAGAGCGTCAAAGAGGCATTCAACGATCAGGTTCGTTACACCATCTTGTAGCTGGAGGATGTTTGCAGATTTTAAACTTGTTTGAGTGTAGCATTAGTGCCTCATTGGTAACGAACAAATTGAGGTTTACACAGTTTGAAATCTGAAAGAAGAGTACTGAGAAGTGATAATTTTATTCTTAGAGATAAGTGATAGACAGAGATTCCATTTTAACTTCTCCCAAGGGTATGGTAACATTAGACCGTATAACAGCAGGAGCGATCAAAGCAGTAGATCTGAACTTGGTTTTCGTACGGTGTCTGGAATTTTGCTTACTGATTGTCGCATCATTTTGACCAGTTTTTGGACTATTATTATTATTATTATTATTATTATTATTATTATTATTGTTATTGTTATTGTTATTGTTATTATTATTATTATTATTGATATTATTTGTTTTTTTGGCAGGAAACAAGCGATCTAACATTCATGATTGACGGGAAGGCTGTCCACGTCCATAAATCTGTACTGAAAATAAGGTAGCTATACTCCATCTTAACTTTGGTGCTTACTCACAACCTTAAAAGTGTGTAGTCGTGTTGCAAGGTTAACTAAGCGCTTAGGGAGAATTTATAAATACACAAAACGAAAAGAATTGCAAAATTGGCATCCCCTAATTTTTTGTTCAATATAATTTAAGCCAAAGTGGACTTCACTCTAAGTGGAAAAGGTGACTTAAATAAATAAATAAATAAATAAATAAATAAATAAATAAATAAATGAATTTATCAATGTAAATGTGGAATTCTTCAAGGGCAAATGCTTTTTTACTTACGTTTGCAGAACAATATCTTCATGATGCACTTTAGCTGATGAAAGATAAAGTGGACAAGAGGTTCAATTAAAATCTTCTCTACATTTGCTGCATAACCATTTTGCACATTTTTTTAACAGGTGTGAACACTTTCGGAGCATGTTTCAAGCTCACTGGGGAGAGGATGAAAAGAAGTAAGTGGAGACTACGTACGATTAACTTTACGTTTCTGCACTGTACTTGATGTGGTCTACACAGTCTGGGAAACAATTTTAGTCAGTTCTGGTGACTCTTCGTCTTAGTACCTAAAAATTTTATCACTGATTCTATTTGTCTTTTAAATCAGGAGAAGTTGTCTCACGATTGCTGCAATTGGCTTGTGTCTGCTCGCCATTTATTTGTAAAGTGAGCCCGTATAAGGCGGCCAACAGGAACGTTGACAGTAAGATAGAAATCATAAATGCTTCCTCAGTTGCGGCTGCCAGAAGGTCGTTGGCTCATTAATATATTTGTATAGCGGCGGCTTAGGTTTGCAAAGAAATAGGTGAAGCCTGCAAGACTGCAAGACAAGTGTATCGTATCAGCTGTTTTACCCTACTTCCTTTCCGGTATTGTACGCCTGTATGAAGCGGTTGACGGGAACGTTGACAGCAAGTTTGAAGTCATGATTGGTGCCTCAGTTGCGGCTGCTAGTATTATTTCAAAAAGTCCAAGAACGTTGTTGTGGGGTTTTGCAGCGGCTAAGGTTTGCCCTCGCTAATTCAAACTCGATTATTTCGAATTCTCCGTTATTTCGAAGTCAAGACTATTTTCCTTGGATTTGCCCTTAAGTCAATTACTAATTGGCTATTTCGAACTATTTTTCGTTTCCCCCGAGAGTTCGAAATAGCGGGGTTCAACTGTATGTGACGCCAGACAAGTTTCGTAGTCGTCATCTACTAAATACTTTCTTCTTTGCTTTGTAGCGTAATAGAAATCACTCAGTTCAGTTATCCTGTGTATTACGCTTTCCTTGAGTTCCTGTACACAGATCACGTGCACCTTCAACCTGAGGATGCCATTAGTAAGTGCAATGTTAAATTCCGTATTCTTAAACCTTTCAGCTCAGAGCGTTTTTCCGCCGGCGCAGCCCTTTACTCCTTTACACTGTCGGCGGTTTTCTCTACCCACAACCACACCCCCCTCCCCGATCCTTGAGGTTTTGCTTTCAAAGTACGACAAGCACGTTTTAATTCTGTTCCTTTCGGATTGATTTGCTTTCTCATATGTAATGTACTTACAATTATTTTGAGACCATATATAAGGCTTGTCAGAGGCTGATCACCTTTTTGCTCGTACCATCGTGATCTGGAAAGAGTTCGTAACGAGGAAAGGGCCACACGACTTTTAAGGTTGGGAGGGACAACTTTCCTGAGCAGCAACTGGTTTTCTACTTCAGGCTTGTGGTTTGTTCAGTGAACTCTTTTTTTCTTGGCTTGTTTTACATGTTCTTTTTTTCTGCGTTTTTGCCATGTGTGATGTTTTGGGTAATTGATCACCCCCTTCAAAAATTTCATGATCGTTCCTTAACCTTTGAACCTTCCATTCCAGTTCATGGAGACAGCTGAGTACCCACTCTTTTGCTTTGCCGTCCCCCCCGCCTCCCTCTCGTCACGGAACATTGTGTTCACATTGGTCCGATATGATGTCTGTTTGTTTCAGGTCTCCTTGACTTGGCAAACTCGTACTGTGAAACGCAGTTAAAATGCCTGTGTGAACGCATCATCAAACAAGGCATCACTGTCGACAATGCCGCCATGCTGCTAGCGGCAGCACTGAAATACGAAGCCCAGGTAAGAAATCAACCAATGCTCATGTTGGCATCTTTGCTGGCCTGTGTAACTGGCGCGGAGAAGAAAAGGAGGGAAGGGCCCCGAGGGGATGCACTCATTTACAATTTGGCCTTTTGCGAGTTGCAGTTGCCAATTTTTTGCGAGAGGATTTTTTTAAAGTTTCCTTTGTCGTTCATTCTCAGAAACTCAGCATTCTTCACAGTTCTGTCGCTACGTTATCCCTAAAGAGGGACGGCGACAAAGTTAAAAAAAATCAAGATTAAAGCATTGTGAACAAGTAGACATATAAAGTCCATTCTTTTTAGAACTTAAACCCGTTTATCTGTTAATTAGACCATACATGTTGAAAATCATTCTGAATACGTTGATGAAGAACTGACCGTTTCACCAGGTTAACACAAACTCTTAGGTTGTTAAAACCTATATGAATTATTAATATTTTTATTTTGTGAATATTTTGTTTTTGAAGGATCTCGAGGATATCTGCTTCAAGTTCTGTGTCAATCACTTGACAGCTGTCACTCAAACTGAAGCTTTCAATCATCTGGATGAGGAAACTGTCAAGGCGTTTATTCAGAAAGCGGCCAAATGGGGAGCTTTTAAATATTGACGCTAGGAAGTGAATAGTAGTATGTCACCTTTCATGATAGAGGAAAATGGCCTTATTACGTTCCTTGTCTTGTCTTGTTTGCAAAGTTTACAAGCTGTTTACAGAGGGGTTGAAGAGATGTCCTGGGAGCGAAGTTGAGCGGGCGTCCGAGCAAGTGCGGCTCTCCCCAGCTCCTTTTCTTGAACTTTTCGTCGGCCGTGAAGTTGAGCCCTACTCGCAACCTCGTTTCCAGGGCTTTTCCTGACAACGAGATTGCCCTAATCGCCCGAGGCCTCTCGCTTGAACCATTACCTGGATCTTTTACTAAGTTTGCCTCTTGTAAACTTGATATCAGAATGCTAGCAAAACAAAAAAAAAAAAACGTGACCGTTTAAAGACACTGACTTTTTCAACGTTTCCTTCCAACTGTAGTATTTTACTGTGGCTGTGCCTGATGTACCATAAGTTATATTTAACGTAAATTCACAAAAAATCCTTCTGGATAGATTCTCAAAGTTAAACGGTGAAATTGCGCATAATATATATCAAAGTACAAAATGATTGAGCAATGTTTAAGAAAGTATTTAATGATTATTGTATAATTTGTAAATCATAAATTGAATGATGTTTCAGTAGTGTATTTATTGCTATAGTATCTGAAAACTAATATATTAAAGGTCGTCTGCAGTAATAAATTTGTTTTACTTTGCTTTCTTAATTAAAGAACATGATCATTTAATCCAGGGGCTTAGCCAGGATTTTTCAAAGGGGAGGGGATGGGGGGGGGGTCACATTGTGTCAAAGTGTGGGTACTAACCAGATTGTCATATCTTTTTGGCCACCTGTTGTAGATTGTTTCGTTTTCATCCAAACATGACTCTAAGCTAAAGCTTTAGCATTTTCACTCATCGCGATGGATGCGTGCTCGACACAGTCTGTCAACATTCTAGAGACATTTAATGCGTACCAACTGGTACAGATTTTATAAGTTAGGGAAGTGGTCAAAACTATTATACATATAAGGGACCCACTAAAATAACTTGAGACTACTGTCTCTTT